TGGGAGTTTGACGCTGGCGGTCTGCAGCTATCTCTTCCTTCTTTTCGCTGGCATGGTGTTTTATCTGGATGAATCCTAACATCCTTGAAAATCTGTTTTTGTTTCAATGATTTGGAGAAAGTTAAAAACTCACTGGCGTCTACAGATGAGTTGAATTTTAACAAGATCGGTGAGTGAATACCAGGGTGACTTCTTTTTAATCTTGTACATACACATGGTACGTGTGTCATATTACTGACTCTAAGCAGGCTAGATTTGATATTTTTAAGGGCATATGTGTCCGGTATATTGAACACAATTGCATTGCTAGATCGTCTTATTCTTTCAAATACCTCTGATGCAACATGATCTAGGAAATTATTTATGTCATTCGTTTGATCCGGAGTCCCTGTGAGTCTGGGGTTGATGAGATACTAAAGCGGATTGAGAATGTTCATGTCAACTTGCAACTTTTTTATATCACCCATATGGTTGCAGTTGCGATTATCATCACTGTTTACCAACAGAGTCTTCAACACGTCTGGAATGGAGACAGGTGGTAAAAGCTTGTCCACTTCGGGATGAACGGGGTAGCTCGTCTCGTTGAAGTTGTCGGAAATCGTGTCAGCTGTAGTGTTAGATTGTATCGTTTTCCTACGTTTGTCTGGAAACCTAAAAGTAGGGGTCTTCATTTTCTTTTGTGACATGATAAGAAAGTGACGTATAGCAGATGGATTGAACAAAATGTTGGAAATAGAAATGGGTGAAAAAATCAATGCCGAGGGTTCAAGTCAGTTCAGATATCAAAACCTATGTATCGTGAACACTAGTGAAGGTGTAAAAAACAAGAGATGAGAATGGTGGGAAGATAGTAGTGGCGATTTAGTGTGTATGTCAGTATCTGTGGGGGGGCGAAACAGAACATAATAGAGCACGTTGTGTACATTTTAACATAGCCTTGTATAATAAAATTATTTGGAAATGTCGATAATTAGTATCAAACAATCAAAGTGAATACGGTATGTGGTACATATATAAACTGAAAGTCCGCATTAGTAAAAATTGGGAGGTTCAGAGATAAGTAGTTTAAGGGCATATTACCGCCTAAGATTATTATGTTGCTTTATGAACAAATACATGAAACAGCTTTTTGGATAAAAATACTGTCAAAAATAAACTATGACAGACTCACCGACTTGGACAGGTAATTTCGGGAATTAAATGATTTATTGTGTCCAGATACGGTTTAAATGATTGTTCATAAAATAGTGAGTACAGTGCTTTATCATACACGATTATATATGTTTCTTGATATTAGGTAGAGGTCTGAATAGATCCTGTAAATACATAAAGTACGTGAGTTGTAGCATCCAAACACGATATAATTATATATTCCTTAAGGAATATAATACAGATACGAAATGCAATTCTTCGTCGAATACGATTATATATGGTTTTAAAAATGACAGGGCATGGTTTGACTGTATGTCAAAAATGAATAGATGTAATTATATGATGATCAATTATCGTATGAATATGATCATAAATACCATGAATAAGTTAAACTCAGGTTTTATCATACAGCATGAAATTCACAGTTTATATGTCAATAGTTCAGAATAGGGTTATCTTACATAATTCCATTTGCTGAAACGAGCCTTCTTGGTAGTCGTTCATATTACTGTGTACTTTTACAGTTATGCTCTACTATGATATTAGTACTCCTCTAATACTAGACTCAATCCTAAAATTGTACATTTTTCATGATGTAACTGCCTAATCTATAAAACCTTACGTGGACATCACATCATTGTGTACACTGATTCATCGTATCGTAACAATTACCAATATATGATGGGGAACTCATTCAGGCCGGAGAAAGAACAATATATTTAGTATGAGTATAAGATATGAGGTATCATTCAACAGGGACCACGCCTGCAAGGCCTAGCCGCGCCATCCGATCAGCCAATCTGACCAACGACGTGAAACCTTTTTAACGATTGGGACAACTACCGACTCATTACATGACGTTCGATCCCCGGATAAACGAACGTAAAACAAGCTTTTCGAAGCGACAGATGAAGAGCGAATTTTTAGTACTTCACCATAGTCTTGAATACGGATCTTGGATAGACAACAAACGTCGATATTAAGACTTTCCAAAGACATAGTCAGCCCTATCTGTTGTCCGACCTGCATAAGCGTGCGAACGTTGAAGGCAGCCAATTTGAATGGTGCACGTATTTTCGGAAAAACTGCTTGAGTACTCATATTTTGTGGTAGCATACAATTTTCAACCAGGCAGTGACTCGAGAACGTTTAGATAGAACTGAGTTTCCACCATAGGCGAGCTGCTGCATAAGTCGAAAAATAAGGATACATAAGGTGGGAATAAAAGAGTGAGTAAATGACGTAGTAAATAATAATAAAGTCGTATTTAAATTTCCTAATGAACGGGACTTAATATTACAGAAAGAACTAAAACGTAGGTTAGATGCTGGCGAAAAGAACCTAAAAATTGTAAGTTTTCGGGTTGTGAGACTTCGACTGAGAACGATGCCGAAGTCCCTATTGATGCAGCAAGAAGCCATCTAAATACATTTCGGATCTCTTACACAAATATCAAAGACATCCAACCAAAGACAGGCGTTAAAATTTCAAATAGCTGAATGTATCAGCTCTACGGAACAATCTACAACAGGTGGATTGGAAAATTTACTCTCAACTTGATGTGGATGCTCATTGGGATTTATTACTGCAAGCGATCTTATGTGCTTTAAAGCAGTCTGTTCCCCAAAATCTACAAGCAACCTAGTCATCAAGAACCGCGCTCTTCTGTTGCCAAGCCACAAATGGCATTGTTAGGCGGAATACAAATGAATTGATAACTAAAGTGATAAGAGAAGACAGAATTTATTACCAGATAAGGCTTGTCGATGAATTTGTCTCCAATCCGAGAAGCTTATTCCATTAGGCAGCCTGTCTTTGACAAGCCAAAGCTGGAGTTCCACAACAGCTAGGTCCTAATGGCCCAACCAACAAGGAAGGCGTCGCCGCTAAACTTTTGGCTGAACGATACTCTAGGATATTTCAACTGACCCACACTAACTATATTGATGAAAGCTCTATCTGCAACTCCACAGGGCTTTTCGAAATGAATCTGAGCTCTGACTTATTGTGCAGCAAACTGCAGCATCTAAAAAGGACACTTCTCCCGGTTAGGATATAGTTCATTCTGCTATACTGAGGGAAGGAGCTTCAATTCTGGCAACACCGCTTAGCGTGATGTTCTCACACTCGCTAAGCCGAGGTACATTACCGGACATTTGAAAGCTGGCTCACATCACACCGATTTTCAAAGGAGGTTGACGCAGAAAACCTTCAAGCTACCAACCGGTAGTACTTCTCTCTAGACCCTCAAAAATTGTGGAGTCACTGATATGCGACGGTATACACGACTATTAATTATCCGAAAACTTCTTTTCACACCAACAGTATGGTTCCGGGAAGAGTCATTCTTGTATAACCACCCTGCTGACTGCGGTGGACAGATGGACAACCATCCTTGATCACAAGGGGAAGGTTGAAGTCATTTACCTTGACTTTTCAAAAGCTTTTGATAGGGTCAACCAAATATGTCTTATCAATCAGCTCAAACGATTGGGTATCGAATCAACTCTAATTGACTGGCTCAATTCATAACTAAAAAGATCGACATTTTAAGACCAGGGTTAACTTCACTTTCTTTCAGGTTATGAAATTTCCTACTGGGGTCTACCAGGGTCCAGTACTAGAAACTCTTCTCTTCTCGACTTATATAAATGATCTTTCACTACAGGTATCGTCAGATTTATTGCTTTTTGCTGTTCATGTGAAACTTTGGAGAGAGATACGAAACCAAGAGGATGATTTGGTACTTCAAGAGAATCCGACTCGACTTCAAAGTTCACCAGATGATAACGAACTTACCTTCAACACTTCGAAGTGTAAAGTAGTCCATTTGAGACATGCTGTAGATTACAGTCAAAACTTAGGAAACTCCTGTCTAGAAGTATCTCAAGTTGAAAAAGATTTAGGTGTCCTGGTATCCTACGATTTGAAGTTTTGTGCTAACTGTGACAAAAATGCCTTTCGAGCAAACCTTGTACTAGTAACATTGAAGCGCATTTTTGGCCAGTTCGACGGAAGAACTTTCCACATAACTTTCAATAGTTTTATTCGTCTTAATTTAGAATACGGAAATATAGTATTTTCTTCTTCACTCCAAAAGAATAAGGACATTCTGGAGCGTATCCATCGGCGAGCCACGAAATCAGTTCGAGGACTCAAATTCAAGCCTTATGAGGAGCGCCCTCATTCACTAAATCTTTACCCATCAGAGTACAGGCGTCTTAGAGGTGACCATCTAATAACTAACAGTATCCTTAACACTTCTTGACATCCATTTAAACACATAATTAAGTTTAGCTCCAACATAAAACTTAGAGGTACCACACAGAAATAGGAGACACAACACAGAAGAACTGATTGTTGACATTACTTTTAGTTCTTAAGAGTTGTCAAATGCTGGAATTCGCTGATGGCTGGACCGGTTCAAGCAACTTCCTAGGAGTCTTTTAAGAGGCAACATGACCTATTCTTAAGGACTAAGGTTTGTATCTTACTATAGTTTACCTACTTCTTTTTCTTCCTTTATTGTTAATATACCTAGGTTCCTGCCTGGAGGTATTGGTGATCCATTGCTACTAGACAAGTAATCCCGTTAAGCGAATACTTGTTCTATTCCATCTACAATCATTTGAACCGTTTGAAATTACCAGTGGCATACAAGTTTTCACACCGAGCCATCAATTCTCGGAACACGTTACCAGTAGCAGTGATGTCCGCATCTTCAATCGACTCGTTCAAAAGAAAACTAGACACTCACGGACAGATCCTTGAAGGCAGATAACATGAGTCATAGGCCTTCTGTCCACAACACACAGATTAGATTCTGAAATCTGATATGATGTGAGACGCGCAGTTTACAATCAACTGCGTTACAGCGTGCTCAGCTGTACCGTTAGGCTAAGTTCTGCTTCCTTAAGTTATTTGGGTGAGAGTTTATTTTATAAACGGCTTCCGAGTAATGCTAACGTAACCTTAATAAAATTTAATCACTTGCTAGCATCAAAAGAGTGTTGTAAATCAATGTGTGGGATTAGGATTAATAGAATTATAAGTTTAGTTGCAAAGCTATTATTTATGGACGAAACTATAATATTTACAATTGTAGGTCTTTGATTGGTGACGCCATAATTTACGGTCGAACTTTGAATGACGCTTAAGTGAGTGTGAAAACGTAAACCTACGTATACGTTGGTATACATTAGTGTTTTAGTGTTAAATGAGGGTTATAAACCAGTTTGAGGTTTTAGGATTATGATATACAGTTGTTGGTTGGGGTTGGAAATCAGAATTAGTGTTTTCATCACAAACTGACATCAGCTGTAATACTAAAACTCTATTTATCCAAATGAATTAGTAATGTTCGCACCGAAATCCAAGACTTGTTACCTTAAATCCGATTGGCTCATCCATAAATTATAATCTCGCCATAAAAACATAAGCTCAGTTTCCAACCTTAATATCCAACTGTAAGTCCTGATCCTTATTCCTAATCCTTATTTCACCTTAGTATGTGGGTGAAATGTTTCATGATCATTTTAGCATTCCTTATAAGTCGCCATAAACTTTAGTACCACCGTTTTGGTTAGTAATTAGTCATATGGACTTTCATTGAAAATTGTCATCATATATAATGCCAAAATACTGTTTCAGCACATGAGTGAACGGATTTCGCCCGAAAATTCGAGAGTCGCTATTTTGAATCTGATCGGTTTATTATTAAACTATGGTTTCAAAGTTCTTTGTTGATATAATCAAAATGCTTAGCCGCAACCTAATAACTGATCTTTCCCTTTATACTATTGGTTTTGCATGTGGTTAAGTCGTATTTTTGAAGCGAATAGCTAATGTTATATGGAGATGGTCATTGTCCATATTAAGTAATACAAAGACCAATAATGATTCAGTGTAATTGTGTTTCTGCCCACATGAGGTCTGTCATACTTCAATACTTTGTTTTTTTTTACTAGTAATTCGTAAAGTAGATGGACTAAACCTACGCGTTCATATTTTCTCATTACATGCTCAGTAGGCTACATATGCATAGGGTGTCCAATTGGCCATTAAATTAAGCTTGTATCACTCAAGTCTCATGTTCAATCCCTTCTCTGTTCAGCCAGCGGAGGATCATCAATAATATATGTCCTAAAATTGTGGCTGGGATCTCAGTTTATAAAGGTCCACTTGGTAAATACGTTGCACAGTACTGCCTGTTTTCGGTAGTAAGTATGAGCTTCATGTCCTAACCTTACTACTAAAGAATAGAGATATTCCAACATAGTTAATTACATGTCGTTTATAAATGTATGCATCATTAATCAAGCATTTTTTATTAGGTATGTGTCCTTAGTTATATTTTTACTTGACTAGTGCGTATGTAGAAGCAAATATTCCCTGACCTCATACTTATTGACTCTAACCTCATATTTTACATAGTGTTAGGTCTTGTAGAAATAATGTTTATGACACAAGCTATCTAATTACAATAATGTTTCATTGACGCTCCCATTCCGTCGATCTAGTTAACCTATTTTCAGTCATCGATGTCAGTTTCCCACTATCCGACGTCTAAGACCAGTGTGTTGTGTCGTCACTGGATTTCTGATTATAAAGCTGTGTCACATTCACCTTTGTCCTACTACTTATGAGCCTGCGCTATAAGGTATGAAAAAGCAAAGCAGTCGAAATTACAATAGATTGTATGACAGTGCAAAGTAAGCATAAAAGATAAGATATAAATAAATAAACGTTTGTTAGGGTTTTAAAATTCAAATACAAATAGCGAATGCATCCGCATTTATTAATATACCTGTATCGAGAACACTGCAACATCTTCAGCCTTGTCACTTAAAGTCTACAACCATAGGTAATGATCATTGTACAAACCCCAAACAAGAACTCTGGGACTCCAAACGAAGCCTAGTTTGACAGTCAGGGAATTCGTTGGTTGACGATATGCCCATACACCACCCTCAGCCACCTTTGAAGTGAGACTACTCTAGCTACTACTCTACATCTCTGTAGGTGGCCTATGGTCGTGTATCCCACATACATCAAACACCTCAGTCAACAAGTGCATTATCTTAAAGAGAGTAAGAACAAAGGTTGGTGCAAAATAATATGAATTCATTTTATTTCGTTAGGTTCTCATCAGGTGCTTACAACCTAAAATATTTGAAATTCAACGTTATTATAGATATTGACATACTTATACAACGGAGGGCGATGAAGGATGAATATATGTAACATAATGTGGTAAAGATTTCGTTAGAGTTAATGAGGTCATAAAATTTTTGTTTCGAATATATAGAGTTTGGGAGGAAAGGTTCCAGAAAATTGAAATAGTGATTAGAAATCATGGAATTAAAACACATTAGACGATTATGTAGCGAAGTAACTGAAAATAGATTAATGTTAATAAAGAGAGATATGAATTGAAATTGGTCAGTTATGAGTGATGTAATTATGAAATTCAGAGAGTTGAAATGACGTAATAAAAATAAATAAAATAAAAGGGGGTGGGGTGAATGTTACCAGGGCAAAGAAAGATTTATTACTGTTTCTTTTTGTACACAAAGATCTGGTTTTAAACGTTTGATTGCTATTGCTTCCGCGAATTTCAAAAGGTTTGAATTTGATTGTTTGTTGATCACCTTGAAGGACTTCAGTATATCGACTTTGTGTCCTGTGTCAAGGAGATGTCTTGCGACAGCGCTGCTAGATGCTTTTAGTCCGTTTGATCTCAAACTGTTCGGAATATGTTCTTTGAATCGGACGTAGGCTCTCCTTTCTGTTCTACCAATGTAACTGCTTTGGCAGATACATGTAAATTTGTATACACAGTTGGTGGTAACATGAAAGGGATACCTGTCGACCTTTGATTGTGTCAAAGAACATGTCGTTTTGGACAGGACAATCAATTTAGCTGCAGTATATGTTTTTTGTCAGTGCAGTTTTTAGTCTCATATTGATTGACCCTGTGACATTATCGCCTTTGAACTTGAGTTGAATAAAAACAGGTTTTTTATTTACTTTAGTTTCTTTGGGTATTTTATCTTCACGTTTTCCATATTTCTCAATGAATTTCAATGGGTATCCGTTATTTCTTAAACACTTTTTAACATTCATAATTTCCTCTTCTATTGTATCGGCAGTGCATATTCTTTCTGTCCTATGAAACAGTGTTTTGACAAGCGCCTTTTTATAATTGATTGGACAAAAGCTGTTGAAATTGAGATAACTACCATTCCATGTGTCTTTCTTATAAACTGAGCGTTGAACTGTGCCATCCTTTCTTCGTTTTATCGCTATATCGAGGAAATGAAACATATTTTCTTTTTCATGTTCCATAGTGAAATGAATATTTGGATGAGCTTCATTGAAAAACTTTAACAGATTTGTTGCATAAATAAAAATAATATATTTGTAATATCCCAATGAGTAGAACAATCAACCCAATGCTCAATTTATTCGAAATTATCAAATCAAACCTTGGTAATGACACCTAGACTTGTTGCATGTTGTTGATTATTACATAAGATGAATGTATCATCAACATACCTCGAATAATACATCATTTCATCAATCGCTCCTTTGAGCTTGGTTCTTTCGAGGTTAGCCATGAAAATGTCTGCTAGGACGGGGCCTAACGGACTTCCCATTGCTACACCATCGGTTTGTCGGTATATAGTATTGTTGAACTGGAACTGAACATCTTTTGTACAATAGAGTAATAGACGTTTGAATTCTATTGCTCAGTCAGTCAGCTACAACGTAGGACCAGGCACATATGTGCATCGGTCCAGGTTGCCATACCTCATTAGCACAGCAAGATGAACAGCGGATTCATAGGAGTGGTTAGGTCAAAGGTTGCAATAAGGATATAGTATAGGAAGAAAGAATTAGTTCGTAGACAGAAAGAATGAAGTGATTTTAATCTTTTAGTTTAAGGGAAGACAGGAAGTGTATACACCGACGCCATTGTGATCGATTCTGAGCCATGTCACCAAGAGTCTCCAACCATTGGTTACGAAAGTCACGCGGACCCTAACCAAGTAGTCTGCATCTACCAACATGGCTCAGACTAGAAGTTAGTGACTTCAGGCACTGATGCCACGTTTTGGTTTGGCCACCCCTAACTTTCTTCCAACCATCCCCTACCCCGGTTAGCATTGCACGTCGTGGTAATCGGTGTTCAGGCATACGTAATACGTGGCCCAACCATCTCAGTCGATGAAGATTCATAACCTCATCAACTGATTTACCATCATTCCCTAATACCCTGCGTCTAACCTCACTATTACTTACCCGGTGATCCCAGCAGATGCCAGCAATATTTCTAAGGAATCTGTGGTCAAATACTAGTAACTTACGGGTGTCTTCTACTCTTAAGGGCCATGTTTCGCTGCCGTAAAGTAAAACAGAACGAACTGCCGCGCAGTATTCTCGTCCTTTTATTGATAGACGGATATCTCGCCTTCGCCAAAGATGACGTAAGTTGGCAAAAGCCAAACGAGCTTTTCGAATCCGTGCTGAGATTTCGTCAGACACCAACCCATTAGGGCTAATCAGACTTCCAAGATAAGTGAAGTTGTCAACGCGTTCAACTACTTCACTCCCTATCCTTAGTTCAGGTGTTGACCCAGACCAGTCCTGAAGCAACAACTTGCATTTAGAGGGAGAGAAGCGCATTACAAACATTCTGGCATTGTTGCTTAGTGCTACCAAAAGACTCTGCATTTTATCAGCGACTTCCCCAAACAGGACTATGTCATCTGCGTATTCTAAGTCGATAAGTGGACCTCCTGGAAGGAGATCAATACCCGAGAATTCAGTCGACGAGAGTGTTATTTCCATCAATAGGTCTATGATGAAGTTAAACAAAAATGGAGAAAGTGGACAGCCTTGACGGACACCACTTGAGGTTACAAAAGTAGATGACAGTTCGCCATAAGCCCTGACTCGACTAGTAGTGTTCGAGTAAAGAGCCTTCACAAGGTTTATGTACTTCTGAGGTACGCCTTTCAATGACAGACACTGCCACAGAGTCTCGTGGTCTACCGAGTCAAATGCTGCTTTTAAGTCAAGAAATACCACCATCGTCGGACGCCGATAGGTATGCCTGTGTTCTAGAACCTGACGAATGGTGAATATGTGGTCGATGCAGCCACGACCAGGTCTAAAGCCAGCTTGGTTCTCTCGAGTTTGTAGTTCACGAGTCTTAGTTAGGCGTTTGATAATTATCGAGGCCAGTATTTTAGATACTATGTTTGTTAAACTAATCCCTCTGTGGTTGTCACAGGATGATTTTGACCCTTTCTTATATATTGGGACGATAAGTGATTGCGACCAGTCAGATGGGATAAAGTCTAATTCCCAGATCTTAGCTAAAATATTAGTCAACTTAATCGCTAAAATTGGACCACCATCCTTAAAGACCTCTGGAGCCAGTCCATCTGGACCAGCTGCCCTTCCTCGTTTCAGATTAACTATAGCCTTTTGAACTTCAGCAAGAGTCGGGGGACCTACTTCAATGTTCCATTCACACTGTCTGGGAATGGAGGGTAGTTGTAGAGTTGCTGAAGGCCAGCTGAACTGTTCCCTAAAGTGTTCCGCCCATCGTTCTAAACGCCTGAACTTGGAGCAGATGAGTGTATCGTCTTTTTCCGATATAATCTCACTTACACTTGACTTATTAATTCCAGTTTCTTTTATTAGTCTGTAAAGCTGTCTTGTGTTCCCTATAGTCGCCGCCTTTTCCATCTCTTTTGCTTTCGTTGCCCACCACTGCTCACGGTCGTTTCTTAGGCTTTTTCTTAACCTAGATCTGATTTGTTTTCGCTCTTCATCATGTTCAGAACCTGATGGGACGAGTTTGCGAGAATCCATCAGTGTGACAGACCTTGAAGAAATCCATTGGTTCCTTGCAACTCTGTGGTTTAAGTCACTAATAGATGTCACTGCTGTTTCCACAGCTGATTGTATGCCCTTCCAAGCAACATCTGGGTCAGCCTCGTCTTCACAACTACCTAAGTGTGACCTCAGTTGTTCCTGGAACCTACTTTTGGTTTTCTCGTTACTCAACTCAGTTCTAACGGGTCTTTTTAATGTGGCTTTTTTGCGTCCAGTGAGGCGCAAGCAGATGCGTGCCCGTATTAGGGCATGGTCGGAGTCCAAGCAGGTACTCCAGAATGAGCGACAATCTTCTACCGACCCTCTCCAACGATGACTGATGGCAATATGGTCTATTTGAGTCCATCGTTGGTTTGGTGTAGGGGGTCGCCATGTTAGACGATGTCTCTCCTTATGCTTAAAATTTGTGTTTGCTAAAAATAAACGATTGTCTGAGCATAGCTGCAGCAGACGATCACCATTACCTGTTCGCTGTGTTGGAATACTAAAATATCCACCTAAATGCCTTTCTGTTTGGTTTAAACTGCCTATCTGAGCATTAAAATCACCTGCTACGAGTACTATGTCTGAACGTTTAGCTTTCTGAAGAAGTTCGGACAGCTTTCTGTAAAATTCATCTTTCACATCATCTGAGCTGCAGTCAGTGGGAGCGTAGGCAGAAACGACAAAAAGGCGACGACGTGTGTCCCTATCCTTCCGAGTTCTTACGTAGCCGTTCAGCCGAACAGCACATAGACGACTGTTGACGGGGATCCACTCTAGCAGTGCTTGTTCAGCCCTCATGCTTAGTGCTATGCCTACACCTGCCAGTCCACGAGAACTTGTCATCGGGTCACCAGATACACGAAGGGTGTACCTCGTTGGCTCTCCGTTTTGCCGAGGTGAGGTCAAGTGAATGACCACACTGGAATCCTGTATGCGTGTTTCGGAGACACAGCACACGTCAATGGTAAGAGACTCTAGGGTTTTAGCCAAGGAAGCCTGCTGACCGATTTGACATAGGGTTCGTACGTTGAAGGCTCCAATGTGTAGTTTGGAGCGAGGTTTCAGTAGACCTGGGACAGTATTTTGCGCACTAGAATCGTTGGCTATGGTGACACTTGAGGTGGAAGCCGAGAGAGGAAATTTAGAGTTGAAAGTCGATGTAGGAGGAATAATAGGAATTGAAGAGGAAGGTTGATTATGAATACAGTGGTCTTGAGTGCTGTTAGAGGTATGCGGGCGGTTTTCACTTCCCGGTTGCCCACACCGTGGAAGGGTTCTTCTGGAGGTACCTGAAAAGGAATTTGGATTAGAGGTGGTCTTAGTGACTTGAGAGCGTGACCGCAGTGCCCAAGGGACAACTGCTTGAGGTCGGTCACACACGACCTTGTTATGGGTAATTTTTGTGTTAGCTCCGTACTTATTGAGACCTTACCGCCGGAGACGGATATCCGTGGAATAAGGCGTGCATTTTTTTAGGGCCGACCTTTTCTAACCCCACCCCTCCTTGTGGGAAGGCAGCATCGCTGTCATGCTGGTTGTCTGAAGGAAACACCTTACTACTGTCACACCTCTGTACAGTCAGCAGTACGACTTCGCCTTCGGACCTTGGGTTTGTTGCTTTTAGTCTTACCGCTCTTCAACCGACCTGTCTGACATGGTAGGACCTTGAGGAATGGTTGTTCCAGCCAGTATAGCTCGGTTGCTTCATCACGATAGGCAAGCCCGACCACCACGTCAAGGTAGCAACAACGGTCGGTAGAGGTAGGATATCAGGATGTTGATAAATTATGTCTATGGTTCCAAGAAGTGATATTTTTGTAAACAATGATGTCACATCAAACGAAACCATAAACTGATTCATTGTCCTTCCCTAACAATTCATTCCTAAACTTAGCATTACACCCAGCGGTCTCGCTGTTAGTGAATAATACTTCGAAGATGTTTCTAACTTAATATTTACAACTGTTGTCAAAAGTTAACCACACGGTCAAATCAAACTACACAATCGGCCCTTTGGATTTAATATATAGTCTAAAATGCAATGATGGGCAACTTATAGTCTTCTAAGAGCTGTTTAAACACTCAGTAAAACCTGACAACATTTTCTTTGTAAAGCTAGTAGACGTATGTATAAAATAAAAAAGTTATCATACGTCCTCATAGCAAATTTTACTTTTTAGTACATTATGTATCAAAAACTGTCGTAATCAACGTAATTTGTTTGTGTTAGTTCGTATCTGAATGTTTATATTATATTTTAGGTTAGCTTGCTTGAAATACCAATTTCCATCCTCTTCCAGATTGCTATTTGTTTGCTTATGATCATATCAGCCGTTCAGGATAGTATTTATTTTCCAACACTTGTCGAATTTTAAAAAGAAGCTTCAAAATAAAAGTAACTTAGTCAAAAGAAATGATGGCTTTACGGCGTCTAACAACTAATGTGTTGTGTCTAAGATCGCTTACTTTATGCTCAAGTGAAACTAGATTCTTTTCTGCCAACTATCAACTGTCAGGATTGTCTGGATCCCCTGTTTTGTGCCCTGTGAAATCACAGTCTTATAATTTCGTATACAATGCCGCTTCCGCATTAGGACTCTACGTTCCATGTCGTTACAGCACTATATTCAGCGATTATCCTAGTGATATGTTATGGGAAGGTGTAACTGGACCAAAAGGAGGCTCAAAAAAACGTGCAAGAGGAAAACGCAGAGTTACAAGACAAAAAATAAATCTTCATGTGGGACAGAGATTAGGTTTCGGCAAAGCCTCCATACAATGGCCTGGTCTTAATACTCCTGCATCTTCAACTATCAAGAAAGTAAGTACTTGATTACCAAATAGCAATTTATAAATCGGTTTGTATTTAATGGTGTCTAACTGCGCCTGTAATCGTCTAATTGTAAACATCCATAGCCTTAATTGGCTTTTAGTAACTTGTCAGAAAATATTATTATTGAGTTATTCTGCTTGTTTTTATGTTTTGCTCGCAAGTTATTCACCATTCCTTGAAATCAACTGCTCTTTCATTAAACAGTTCGATACCAGATCTAGTTTTATATTATTACCAGATTTAAGGAACAGATTATATATTATCCTTTATAGTCCAATTTTTATGTTCTTAAATATTTACTTGTTTGCAAAATATTGCATTTTGCAATTCAATTGTTCCTTGTTTAATGGTTGCCTACTATGAAGCTAAAAATTTTAATTATAATATAAATTCAAAATCAGTCAGTCATAATTAACGTAAAATCTAAAACAAATATGTGTTGACCGAAGATTTTTAAATTTAAATTTGAACTGTGAATGACTTGCTGGTTATTTTTTTCTACATATCATCACACGATGTTAGTCGATATCGAAGTAGGTTGGGAGTGTAGGAACGGCTAAACCAAGGTGTAGCATCCTTCCATAAAGTCATTAACTGAACAATGTTAGTAAATTCAGACTATTTGGTTAAGCTCCACGGGACAACCGCAGTCCGTGGTTGGAGACTTTGGAGGTGATATTTCAGAATACTTTGCGATAATCCAGACACATTCACTATATCTTCTCATTCTTGAACGTTAATATTCTTCTTATACATACCTTTCCATTCTGTTTTTTCGAACGATATTTCCAGTATTCGGTTTCTCTCGTTATCATTGCTACTACAATATTCCAACGTCTTGCATTTTGGCTTGTTATTTTCACTTCGTTTTGATAATGTGGTGTGACAGCTTGGGCGAACGTACGTTTGTGTTAGTTTCTGTGTTTACGATGTCTGTCTGTCCTTTATAAGTACAATGTCCTCATCATGAAGCTGCCGCATCAACACAGTGATTTAACTTTCATGTTTTATGTAACTTCGTCGTTTTGAGATTTGTTAGCGGAATTCATGACTTTTACCTCAGTCAATTACTAACACCAACTTGAATAGCCAACATAATTGCCATAATAAACGTTAAAATATTAGGGATTCCAATGTTCAACAAACTACGAAACAATAACATCTTAAAGTTTCAGTGGAGTTCCTGTCAACCTTCAAGTCAATACGGTCTTCAATATGAAATTGCTTTCTCGAGAGACAAATTCAACGTGGTTTTCTACCGCTGATTAATATATCTTTTGTTGTTATCACCGTTTCTATTGTTTTACTGAAATTAGTCGGTGAAACAGTATAATATTCCCGTCTATGGGGAAAAGTTTCCGAAATATATGATGCCCCACAAGCCACAATAACCTAGGTTTTCTTGGGATTAACTATTGATAGAATGTCCTAAATGAGATTGGTCAACCAAACAGTAAAGGGTATCGAATAATATGTCCAAGATCTAAGGAATATATCAGAGCCATTAATGCTAATCCTATGCTGTGTACCAGGAACTCTTCATGTACTGATTTCATCTGTCTCATGGGCTCCAACTAAAAATATCTCTATAGCCTTACACAACTTTTCGAAAAGACAGTTATCTTCATAGTCCAGTGCATTGCTTTCGTTTGTCCATATGTGACACACAAGGGAGAAAGCAAGATCCTCAAATACAACACGGAGAACACCAATCCAATCATACTTGGTGGAGAAACTCTTGAAGAGGTGGACACTTTAACGTACTTGGACAGCATCATCGATGAACAAGGAGGATCCGACGCAAACGTCAAGGCGAGGATTGGAAAAAGGAAAGCACATTCCTACAGTTGAAGAACATATGGAACTCAAAACAACTGTCAGCCAATCTCAAAGTCACAATCTCCAATACGAACGCCAACACAGTTCTACTTTACGAAGCTGAAACTTCGAGAACTACCACAACCATTATCAAAAATGCACGAGTATTTATAAACATTTGTTTACACAAGATGGTGGAGAAAATTCGTAGCTCAGGTGGATTATTTTGATGGAGTTTTTTTCTCAGCTGGATGGTTTGGTTGTGGAGCTTTCATCATTCTTCTGAACGACATCGTCAGCACAAACATCATGTAGGACTGTACACAAGATACTCACTGTCCGCTGGTTGTATACCACCGGCAACAGCCTACTGTGAGAGAAAACAAATCAGCTTCCGTCTGAAGAGGAAATTATGAAAAGATGCTGTAAGTGGATAGGACATACAATACAAAAGTCATCAAACTACATCACGAGGCAAGCGCTAACTTGGAATCCTGAAGGGAAACGAAAAAATGTAAGGCTAAATCACACATTGCCTCTGGAATTGGAAGCAGACATGAAAAGGATCAATAGCAACTGAAAACAACCAGAAAATATTGCCCAGGATATAGTTGGGTGAAGAATGCTGGCAGACGACTCATGCTCCTCCACGAGGGGTAACATGCGTAGGTAAATATATGCGACATGTTCTAACCATCATAAATGTTTTAAGTGCGCACTTCCATATCTCGACTCGCATATTTTATCATAGGACTCCACGCATAGCCTCCACCTTGCTCATTCTATGATTTAATCATACATGTGGAGTGCGTCAGAAATATTTTTGACCGAATATCCATAAGCATCTTTCTATTTCAGTAATCATGACTTATGATTATAGAGCAAAACGAACTGTTATATATTCTACTCATCTTTTGCTAAACGTAAGAATATTGTACTGACAAACCTTGGACAAGTTTAAATCTACTTGCTTTGCTCTTGTTAACGATATGGATTAAAATAAAGTAAATCATACAGTTAACTAAAATTTATAAAAAGTAATGGATAGATATTCACATTCGTGAAAAGTTTATGTAACAGAAATTATGTCTTGCCCCCAACTATTTGTATTGTCTTAGTAACTATATTCAACTATGATTTCCCAGTCATTGTTTAATTTTGTTCCGGACAAACTAGGACCTACTTGTCTATTAATATTAGTAGTATCTTTGAAATAATAAATCTTATACAACGTCAACATCAAGTATTACTTCAAATAGTGAAACATTCTGAATAAATTACTAGAGAAGAAAAAAACTCAGACATTGTCGATTATTTAAGATAAAAATAGTTATTTCTTTAAAGGGCACATTAGGTTTTTTTCTTCGCTTCTTCAGTTCGTTCTGTTGTTTATGTCAAAATTGGAAATAAACTATAATAAAATGTTTGTTTACTCTATCATCAAGTCGTATATACTATAATTCATGTAGTTATTTGGATGATATTTATTTATGCAGACTGTATCTGAAGCCATAGTTACTTTTTAAATATATTTTTGATATGATTTACGGCATAGTCAAAGATGTTTCTGTGGTAGGACACTTTACTTTACGGAAGAGCCAATCAGATATAAGGCAGTGTTTCTCGAATTTCCCTCAAGATCAATTCATCAGTTTGACCATAAAACATTGTTGCATTTTAACTGACGTCGGTACGTAAAGAAAACTAACACTAACCTATAAACCTAACTTCTAACCCTAACCATAATTCCTAACTCAAATCCTTACTCAACTTCTAACCCCAACCTGACCTCTTGTTGTTTACCTTAATCTCTCTTCGTTTATTATGATAAACAATCCAGTATGTAAATGTTTGTTAATCATGTCTAAACTTCACCTGTTGTAGCTGATTGCTTTTTATTATAAATTGTTAATTAACTAAACACTTTTGTTCAATGTCATTAGCATGATCTTATTTCATCCTCTTTTATACAGGGTGACTACAATGAAGAGTATTTCGAAAGGTTAGAAATGCTTCGTAATAAATCTGCCGTGAAAAAGAAACGCATGAAATTAACTCCTTTACAACGTGGTTGGACAGGAAAGCTATTGGGAGGACAATCTGTTGGTCCACCTACACCAAATAACCCAGATTTCGATTGTTTTGTTATCGAGTCAAAAGTAAATTCATTTTTTCAAAAGAAATGATTATATATATTTATTATATATGTTACACCTAAATTTCATCTGTTAAACCATAACTTAAAACACTTTCTTACATAGTTCTATCTTGTTGTCTGGAGAAAATCAATCAGCTTAAGAAGCAATAAATTTAACTTAAAGTGTTGCTGATCAGTGTGTACTTGGTAGCTGTGTGCTGTATATGTATATGTTGTATATGTAATTGGGTTCAGTAATATTTATAGATGTACATATGCACTAGTGGGATCAATTAGTTCATGAAGATTTATTTGTTTTGATAAAAAAAATGTTGTTCAATGTTTCCTGATTTTCGATAATTTCCCAGCTAACACTATTCCATACATTGTTATTATTCCGTCAGTCAGTTACAACGTAGGACCAGGCACGTATATGCATCAGTCTAAGTTGTCACATCTCATTAACACAACAAGATGATTACCTAATTCACAGAAGCAATTACTCCAGTGGCAGTAATATATAAAAGAAAGATTGCATATAAGGATATGATACAGAGAGAAAGAATTAGTTCGTAGAATGAAAGGTATAAAGTAATCTCATGGTTTAAGAGAAGACAAAGAGTGTATATACCTACCCCATTGTGATCGATTTTGAACCACATCACCCAGTTTCCAACCATTCGTTACGACAGTCGCGCCGACCCCAACCAAGTAGTCTGAATCTATCAACATGGCCTGATGCCACGTTTTGGTTTGGCCGCCCCTAACTTTCTTTCAACCGTCTCCAACACTCGTCAGCAGTGTGAGCAGTGGTAATCGGCGGGTGAGCATACTTATTATATGTCTCATTCATTTCAGTCTATGAAGATTCACAACCTCACCAACTGATTCAGCATTATTCGCTAATACCCTGCGTCTAACCTCAGTATTGCTTACCCGGTGATCCCAGCAGATGAGAACAATATTTTTAAAACATCTGTGATCAAATCCTAGTAACCTACGAGTATCTTCTACTCTAACTGGCCGTGTTTCGCAACCGTAAAGAACAGAATGAACTGCCGCGCAGTATTATCGTCCTTTAATTGATAGACGGATATCTCGCCTTTGCCATAGGTGACGTAAGTTGGCAAAAGCCAAACGCGCTTTTTGAATTCGTGCAGAGATTTCGTCAGACATCAACCCATTAGGGCTGATTATTATTATTATTCAACATTTAATAACACTATAATAGCTGCTTGTTTTATTCACTTTGAATGTGTAAATACAGTCAAGAAAAATTTTTAGTTCTAGGTGTTATGAATTTACTCAACTTCAATGTAGCCGCTAAGTGGTGTCCTGTTACTCATTATTAGCCCATCCAAATATTTTATGTACTAAATCTGCTTAATCAAAACAGGAGAACAGCAAGTTAATTTGCCTTTCATAATATGATAATATGCATCAGTTATCAAACCACAACTCATACCATGAATAAATTTCAGTAAACAGAAATTGCTTCTGTTACTCCAATACGTCGTGTATACAATTATGAATTGTTTCCCAGTTAAAATGACAATATTATCAGGAATGAAGACAGTTCGGCGTAGAAACGTTTCTTCTCGAAGATTTTTTTTACTTAAGCTGTACAATCGTATTTATAGTTAATGCTATTTGCTAGAACGTAAGATAGAAAGGTGCTAATTATTTTCAAAAAACACTTTAAGTAGTATAAATTCATCTTAGTATTGTTTGTTTGAATCTTCCGATTGATATTTAGGACTGCATTTAATCAGTCTCTTATTGGTATATGTGCTTTCTGTACGGATTGCCTCGATATTGCCTTAAGTCACAAGCATATGGATGGTGGTTAGCAGTGGAATCCAGATTGACGCGCGGTTCGTCCTGTTTGGGACTCCTCAGCTGGATTTACTTCCATCCAAGAGTTGATATTCACTCTTGGACTCAAAAGGAAGTTATGTAATAATTGACTTATCTTACCACATTTTCACCAGCCAATTTTTACATAATTTTAAGTATTTGATTTTCAGTTCTTGATAGCATGCCACTTCAAGCTTTTCAAGAAAATAATTAGCACATTTCTATCTTATTATAGAACACTATTTTATCAAATTAAACTATGATTACGATTGTTGGGGAATGCTAGTCGGCTGCCTATGCTCCATTGAGAGTAACAGGCGTAAATAAGTAAGTACGATTGTACAGCTTGAGTAAGTGAAATCGTCTAGAAGAAAATTTCCCTCGCTAAACTGCCTTCTTTCTTCAGCGACACAATGAGTCTCTTTAGTTATTATCAATATCAAAAATAAAGTTCACAAATCATAACCGAGTGAAGATAAACCTTACTGACAACATTCACCGACTCTTAGAATAATTCCAAGACAGTAAAAACAATTTTCAATCGATCAAACTTCATGTGATTCAAATGAATATTTTATCCCTCCAAAAAAGGAGAATGTAGTTATTGAGATTAGGGGTTTGAATTAGTATTTTAAGTTAGAAGTTAATAGTACTCGTAAAGAATACAATAGAATACTTTGTAGTTATATGAATGAATACTTGTGCAGTTAACTCTGATTCTAAATTTCACGAAACTTTAAGTTACTGATAATAATTCATAAAAAATTTTATTCTTTAATCTCATATTTATCAATTTTAATAGTCCAAGTAATTAAATATCGGTGGTTTTTGCTTAGCTTTTAATAAACTATAAACCATTCATAACAAGAATTTAGTATGAGGACAAAGTTAAAACAATCGTGGCTAATTTTCAGGCAATTCTTAGTTAAATTAATGAGTCGATCTAGGCTAAATCATCATTGAAAACCTAGGAGCACTAAACGGTCGTTTCGTCTTGGTATGGGACTCCCAAGCAATGCGCATTCACGATCCCGCGCACGAGACTCGAACTCAGGCTAAGCGTTCGCGCGAGAGACCGAACGTCCTGGGTCGGATATCTCAACCTAAATGAGATTTCTTATCGATCCAGTGAGTTAATTTCATTTATACATTTGTAATTTTATGGTTGACATACTGAATTACTTAGATTTTCTAGTTATAGAAATCAATAGAGTTATTGGATAATACTAATAAATTTTGTTTGTATAATTTAGGTTGTCGCAACAGTGACTGCAACAAAAGGACGTTATCGCCGATTTTCAGTTGTTGTTGCAACTGGTAATGGACAAGGTTTATGTGGTATTGGTAAAGCAAAAGCTTTAAATATATTATCTGCAACTCGACGTGCTAAATTACGTGCCTCACAAAATATTATATCATTTGATCTTAAAGAAGGAAGAACATGTACGTTTTTTTAAAGTTTTGATATATATAGCAGTTATCCATTAAGTGTTTCTAGTTTGTATGGGAACGGTGATTGTATAATTAGATCACTAAGCTTTTAACTAGTAAGTCACAGATTTTAATCTCGTTATGTAGTATTATGATGTGAGCTACTTATATCCACATAAGTAGTATATAACGATAGTCAGGAATAGAATGTATTTCGGTGGAAGATCGAGAAGGAAAGATAACTGGATGATTCAGACACTTATAGTGATATGTGATAACAAATGTTTACGAAGCTATTTATGTAATTTTGTTGTCAATCAGTTTCAAGTATGCTTCAACAATAATCAAAACTCAATTTACATGCTAACCAATAATGTTAGAATATCATTTTGATAATATAGATCCAAATTCTCTTGTATTGGAATAAAAAACAAGAGAATAAAATGAGGAAAAAAGAGGAGCTAATTTAACCGGGAAATATCGGATACTGCGAATGAAAAGGGGTTATTAAGTGTTAATAAGCGATATAGGGTAACAAACAAAAAGGAACTGGAGTAAAAAGAAAGTCAAAAGCAGATCATAAAAATGAAATTCATAAATCTTATTCTCTTTAAAATAATCCCCACTTGCAACATTAAACACTTGTTATATCTCCGTTCTCATTGTTTGAAATACCACTCAGTGGTTAGTTTCACCAACTATCTTATCGTTTCATGTTTTATCTACAATCTAAAATGTTTTTCTTAGAGTTTACGTCACTAATAAGTTGCCGGACAGTGATGAATTAATAATTTTAAATTACGAAGGGAATAAAGTATCGGACAGCTTCAATAATATTCAGTTGATGGTCGCTCTGCTCTCAAACCATCTTTATGTCCATCATTAAGACATTTGTTTCACTTAAAACGAGCAGTCTTCTAATTCATCGTCTTCACAGATGGCTTTAAACATTTTACGCATTTTCTAAGAGTACTTCCTACATTTCGTCAAAGATTTGATATATGTTATCATTCGACAAACCGTGTAATGTAATTTTACTACGAATCGGAGGATTTCACTATTTTTCACCACACCTTTCGATACCTTTACGTTGATCAATTTGTATAAGATTTTCTAGTAATATGTATGCAAGAAAGCACTTGTCAATCTTGTGTTATATATGACAAATCATAGGCGCAAATAACATATCGTCCCATACCAGGACGATACGGCCGTCCAGTGCTTCAAGTTTTCAATGGTGGTTTAACTTACATCGATTCATGAATACAACCATTAAAAATATTATTAATTCTCTACATAATTGATAATACTTTTCTCATCAATTACAGTATGGCATGTTGGATATGTTTGTCAATGGAACAGTAAAATCTTTGCAGCTCCTCTATCAGAAGGTAAGCTTAATCATGCTAATCTCTTAATTTCTAAGCAAAATAATGATGATAATAATAATAGACTCTGGAAAATGGTTAAAGTAAACCAATTTTACTAGTGTATCCTGTTTGTTTGTGTGTGTGCAAAGAATGTTAACTTAATTAGGCAATTATAAGCTCGACTACTCTAATTTAAACCATACTTTATATGTATAATTCAAGGATTATTTTGATTTATTCAACTTGGCACAAAAAATAAGGAGATATTATGAAGAGATAAGTACTAGAAAGTACAATCAAGGAAAAGAAGTTAACAAGAATACATTTTAGGTAATAAATACAGCTAAAAACAATCTTTCCCAATAAAGTGAGTTTTTCTTAATGTTATGAATGTAAAAATAAATCACAGCATGATCTTCCTTAGCCATTAATCTGGGTCATGTTTGATAACAACTGATGCCATTGAATTGGATTGTCTTTAGGATCCTAACCAGGAAGTTGTGGAAGACAGACAAATGCTGTACAATTTTTTTTATACATTGGCACCAAGTCATAAACTGACTATCTCCCCGCTTTTTCTACCCAGTCCTCTGTGTCAGCAATTAATACTCTATGTGGAAGCCAACCTAATACTTATTCAATCCATCGAAATTATTGGTTACAATAATTGTGCGGATATGGGCTTGAAACTGTATAACTAGTTAATGTACTATTTAATTTTGAATAATTTCTCAGATCGTGTATCATAAATATATTCTGTGAATAAATTGTTACGTACTATTCCTTTTCTCCAGGTGCTGGTCTAAAATGTCATCGTATGATTAAAACATTATGTCAAGTTATTGGAATTAAAGATATGTATGCTAGAGTTGAAGGTAGTACAAATAATTATCAAGCAATAGCCAGAGGTTTTTTACGTTTATTAAAACAACAAGTATGTAAAACTGAATTCAAATGACAATTTGGTTTATCTATTAATTATATATATATAGTTTAATCGCTCCAAAAATAAACTACCAGATAGAATAGGATTGTTATAAAGAAATGCATCCAATACATTTAATTATCAGTATAGGATTGAGCATTCGCTCGCGAGACCGAAGGTCCTGGGTTCGAGTCTCTGGTGCGGAATCGTGGATACTTATTGCTGAGGAGTACCATGCCAAGATGAAATGGCCGTTCAGTGCTCCCAGGTTTTTATTGGTGGCCTAACATTCATCTATTTATGATATCAGTTTAAATTCATTTGATGTTAAATAAGTTACACTGACTATTTATTACATTTTAAGTACAAGCCGTCATTAAGTTAGTTATTTTCAGCAAATTGTAAATATTTTTATATAGACTGACAGTATATTACAAGTATTATTTTAGTACATAACATTAGTTATATAAATAAAAAGGGGAATATTGGCTGATTTTCAGGGATTCTAATATAATACTCTGACAATATAGATCTTGTCTACATAGTTAATTATCGACAAAAGTGTACGTTTTTGTTGTTTTTTAAGAGAAATTTATTATTTTCTTAATTTACATATAACCTGATATTCTGATGCAAACCTGTTTTTTCGGTTCCGAGAAACGAATAAGTGATCAACATTGAGGTTAGATTTAGAGTACTAGCCAAAGGTGCGATATCAGTCAATAAGTTTATAAATCTTTATCGACTAAGGTGGTTAGGGACATTGGTTACATATGCCTAACTACCAATCACTTTGATGGGTAATGTTTGTTGTTATGGAAGAAAGGCTAGAGGATGAGACCTAGGGGCGACTAAATCTAGATGTAACATCAGTCCATATAGTCATTAGCTGAGCAATGTTGGTAGATTCAGACTACTTGGTTAAGCTCCACGTGACAACCGCAATCAATGGTTGGAGACTTTGGGTTTAATAGTTCAGAATAATTTACAATAATTCAGACACATTCACTCTATCTCCCTCTCATTCTCGAATCCTAATATTCCTCCGATACACACCTTTCCATTTTATCTTTCCGAACGATATTTCCAATGCTCAGTTTTTCTCGTTATCACTGCTACTACAATATTCCGATTTCATTTGCAATTTGGCTTGTGTACACAATTACTTGTATTCATTAGGGTGATCTGTTGGTGCTTATTTCGAAAACATTAACTCTTTATCTATGTATTCGGAACATTTTATTATGACGTTTATTTTTTTCTTTTTAGAAAACGTATGAAGATTTAGCTAACAGTTTAGGACTTCATGTCGTAGAATTTGCTGCTGATCGTGATATGTATCCGCATGTATTGGCATCTCCTGCATGTGGTCATGCCAATGATTTTAGCAAGAATAATGTCAATGAGTCTGGTGATTCGTCTGCTGTGATCCACTCAAAATCTTATGAATTACCTCAAAGACTTCCACTGATAGTTCCACAGAATCCGACACATCATAAACCGCGTAAACCCATACCTGAAGAACATGACAATTTCTTGGATGATTTAATTGGTGTTGATGAAGACACAACCACAGAAACTAATATTTCGGAATTATTAGCAGCAGGTGAACGTGATTTAGATGCTCTTATGTTGGGAGGACGTGTCCCACTAAAGAAGAGTTCATCTCACCATGGACAAATTACTAACCCCATGGTTATTAAGCGAAAAGCAGAACGTCATCGTTATCGTAACCAGCAAGTTGTCAGACTTGAGAGAAACGCTCATATAACATTGTCTGTAAATTCTGTTTAACTATAAAAGCTTGTATATATATTTCTAGAATAAAGTTTTAATAGGTATTTTACTTCATATTTTGATTGTATTCTGTGTATTTACCGATACTTCTGAAGGATACACTTCATAGACATACATAGGTTTTGATAGGTTTCAACCGAAAATAATAGTGAGGATATTGACGACTTAAGAAGACATGTCTGTTTATATAATTTTTAGTTTGAAAACTAACTCTAATTTCTCAGTCTTCTACCATTCAAATTTAATAAATGTTGTGACGTCTAACACCTTGATAGAAGTATGGCTCATCTTTGCTTGATTATAACACATTAATGACGATGCCTATCATCAAATCAACGTAAATTGAATACTTTGATGCTTGGTAACCTTTATGACTCAGGTAATTTCGATGGATTTTAAATCAATCTCATCCTATGTATTGAGTTGCATTTTGATAGATAAATATTAGATATTTCATAGTTTGAATCAAATTCCGCCTGTTCTTCTAGAATTACTACCGGTCTCATGCCCGGGTAAAAGAGGAGGATTGGGCATGGGGTCAGAAACCCTATCCCGTAGAAAAAAATCATGCTAAAAAACACCAACCAGATTAAATAAATTAAACCAGTTAAACTCTGCCGGGGAGTTGAAGGAAGAATTATGACGCCTCAGAATGAAAGCCGAAATTCTTCGCAAGTCACGTGGCCGATTCCCCTTCTAACAACCAGAGCAAAAATTTTTATAGGCACATGGAACGTCCAGACAATGTGGGAAATAGGAAAGACCAGTCAACTAGCAAAGAAAATGAGGAGATACGAACTGGCAGTACTCGGAATCAGCGAAACACATTGGACCCTAGCTGGACAGCAAAGGCTAGATACGGGGGAGGTGCTCCTGTACTCCGGTCACGAAGAGGAAAATGTTCCACACACTCACGGAGTTCCTCTTATGCTGTCTGAAGAAGCACATGTCCACCTCATCCATAATTTCTCCACCAAGTATGATTGGATTGGTGTTCTCCGTGTTGTATTTGAGGATCTTGCTTTCTCCCTTGTGTGTCACATATGGACAAACGAAAGCAATGCACTGGACTATGAAGATAACTGTCTTTTCGAAAAGTTGTGTAAGGCTATAGAGATATTTTTAGTTGGAGCTCATGAGACAGATGAAATCAGTACATGAAGAGTTCCTGGTACACAGCATAGGATTAGCATTAATGGCTCTGATATATTCCTTAGATCTTGGACATATTATTCGATACCCTTTACTGTTTGGTTGACCAATCTCATTTAGGACATTCTATCAATAGTTAATCCCAAGAAAACCTAGGTTATTGTGGCTTGTGGGGCATCATATATTTCGGAAACTTTTCCCCATAGACGGGAATATTATACTGTTTCACCGACCAATTTCAGTAAAACAATAGAAACGGTGATAACAACAAAAGACATATTAATCAGCGGTAGAAAACCACGTTGAATTTGTCTCTCGAGAAAGCAATTTCATATTGAAGACCGTATTGACTTGAAGGTTGACAGGAACTCCACTGAAACTTTAAGATGTTATTGTTTCGTAGTTTGTTGAACATTGGAATCCCTAATATTTTAACGTTTATTATGGCAATTATGTTGGCTATTCAAGTTGGTGTTAGTAATTGACTGAGGTAAAAGTCATGAATTCCGCTAACAAATCTCAAAACGACGAAGTTACATAAAACAGGAAAGTTAAATCACTGTGTTGATGCAGCAGCTTCATGATGAGGACACTGTGCTTATAAAGGACAGACAGGCATCGTCAACACAGAAACTAACACAGATGTATATTTGCCCAAATTATCACATCACATTAGAACTTACTTATGAAGTGTGTTCCGATTACAACATGACAAATATTTCGTATGATCGGTTGTGTCAAACGCCTAATGTGTTTCTGAATATGTTAGTCAGCCAGACGCAACATAGTACCTAGCACATTTACATCGGTTCAAGTTGCCATACCCTATTAATACGAGATAAATTTTCAGAGTAGTAGAATTAGTAACACGATTATGGTAGCAAAATACATGAGGCATGCAGGGAACAATTCTAAAAGCACAAATCTATGAAACAGTAGAGAGAATTTGATTTCGGTGAAGCTTTGTTCTCTGAGCTGGATGGTTTGGTTGTGCAGGTTTCATCGTTCTTCTGAACGACATCATCAGCACAAACTTCAGCTACAAATCTTCTCCACCATTTCAAAACCATATGAACGTAGCATGCTTCTCTTTGTTCGAAAATATGAGAATTTCGCCAAAAGGCATGCTTCCACTCGAGAACAACTGTATTTTCTCCACGAGTGTCTTCGCCAGCATGTTCTACCAAAAAGTGTTATATACAGACCTCCAATCAACTGCCTATTGGGATGGAGAATATCCGAGCAGTGTTTCAAAGACACCTATGATCGAATACTGAATGTTAGCTACAGTACAGATGTATCATTGTTTTATATAAACCTAGTATTTAGGAATTTCCGACATCAGACAGTGATCTTTGCGTACTAGCCCTATGAGTTAGCTCATGATGAATGTTGAGCTCATTTCTAACTATCTTCAGAAATACATTGCCGTTGAATAAAAATAGAATTCAGCGAATAAAATTTCCTTAAGCTGTACATTTATATTTATAGTTGTTTGGCAAATACATAGGTCTTTAGAAAGATAGAAAAGATTGCATCACAAATAGATTTGAGATTTCAAATGAGGTTCCGTAATAAGCATGGGGTTAGAGAAGAATAGTAGATGGAAAAAGTCAGAATTATGAGAGATAATTGTATACTTGACAGATATATAGCGGTAAATTAATCCCCAAATTAGGTGGTTCTGTAAGTCTTTAACACTGATGCTGACCTCATTAGTTTTTCTAAACACGCCTAACTGAAGGACCTACGTGTAAAGGCGTCGTCAAACTCAGAATACCTGTGGCATCTTGAGATAAGAAAACTGAGAAACGCAAAGGTTATAATAACAAATGAATAGTAATCATGAAACGTTGTTAAGGGATAATGATAACGGATCACGGTTCAAAGTTACAAAACAGTAATAAAAGCAAAACAAATTTACTTGCTGTTGTGTGGCAGGTTACATTGGCCGCACGAAGCGATCACTACCAAAATGCATCTTAGAACATTACCCGACATGGCTTTTAAAATGGAGGGCGAAAAGCAATCACCAGTTCAACCTTGAAAATGTTGCTTGAAAAGTCTCCCTTCAAAATAATCTAATGGAGGCCTAATCAAGAACCTATTCACTGATGAAGCGTTGGAGATCAACCAGTCCAAGCCCGAACTCTACGTGCAAAAACGATACGTCCAACCACTCATCCCTTATTAATATGGCGCTGTTGTTGTAGAATTTTTGATTGAGACCATGAATCGACCATTGTCAGACCATCATTGGAAACTCAGAAATACTGGACAACTTTTTCGTCTTGGCATGGGACCCCTCAACCGTGCTCACCCACAACCCCGCACGCGGGATGAGAACCCAGGTTCATTGGTCTCGTGCGCGAACGCTTAACCTCTAGACGCCTAAGACAGCATCGATGCCCAACTTCAAGCAAGCCATGTAATTGTGCGACCATCTTGCACTGTCTGAGGTAGATACCTGACACGGATTAGCCTCACTGGTCACGATCTCTCACTAAAACTTCGAGAATTCCCACACGAAGCTAGCTACTGGTGAACACATAGTAGTTATTAGTATGGGGCTAGGATTCTTTCTTTGTCTTAATTTCCATCTGCAGCACTATCCAGTTATTGTAAACTTTACATTTCTCATTTCTATCCATATACTTCAAGGGGATAGTTATCTCATAATTCTGACTCGTAAATTATTTTCTATTTACTATTCTTCTCTAACCCCATGCTTATTATGCAACCTCATTTGAAATCTCGAATCTATTTGTGACGCTATCTTTCTATAGACGTATATATTTACCAAACAACTATAAATACAAATGTAAGTAAGGATTACATCGAAAATGAAATTCTCTTCGTTGGATCCTCTTCTATTTTTATGTATTGATCGTTCCGATCTTATAGAGGCTTGTCACTTTGTGATACATGTTACCATAGATCTTGAGAGCAGCCTGATAATACATCAATTTTGTGTGATAATCTTTTAATATTTTAATTTTACTTTTAAGCTAGGAATAATGTATTTAAGGATAAATCTAGTTATCAACTTTTTAAAGGTACTCTCGAACATATCTGGTTGGAGTTTTTAGCAAGGTTTTTTTCTCTGGTGTAGGGTTGCCGACTCCATGCCAAACCCTTTTCTTTTACCCAGGCTTGGAACCGGTAGTGACTCTAGGAGAGCTACAAGAGATGAACAAATCTACTGAAGTTTATTTACTGACGGTTGATTAAATTTTATTGATTCCCAAAATGTATTTTCTCCTGTCTTTCTTCTATTATAGGATAGTAATATCTAGTTGTGTCTTTTTTTATCACGATATTTAATACGTTATGTTTTTAATCATAATTTTAAAAGACAACATGCAATAATATAAATGAGATGAGTTCATATTTTATTAATCAATAGTATTATGTTTACAGAGGATATCGTGTGAACTAACATTAAATTAGAAGTTTTTTAACACAACTTACGAGATCGAACGTTAAAATTACGAATGTATGAATTGATACTTTACATTTACGAAAGTCATGATACACTTTATCTGTATGTTTCATCATAATAAGGTGTGATCGGCTAATAAGTGCGGACGGTAGTTATTTGTTAAATATTCTCCTAGCCCTGTTAATTGTTACAAGCATGTTTAATGCATGAGAAGAAATTCCTGGGAAGAGTATCCAGTATTAATCCGTGACAATCGTATCATACGTTATTGAATTGTTTCCTAGTGTTCGCTTTACCAAAACTGTTGTTTCCGGACGAAGAATATGTGAATAGTAACCGCTAAGATCTATTTGTGGACATTTATTACATATATTCTTATTAGATAACCATTAAGTAACTATACTTTATATATATTCATATTCTTTTTATTATGAACTTTATTTGACCTGTTGACTATTATTATACGATTTAATATTCTTAAGATATTCCCAATTTATTAATAACCGTCTCTCATAATCACAGCCAATTTTTGACTTGATCTTGTATAATTGTTATTTTCTATTTTATGGTATGATGCAGTCTGGTTTGATTGTATATAAACTCAGTATAACTTAAATGTATGATTCGTATTGTGGAGGCTGATATTAGCGTTCTGGACTTAAACCGGCTGGATTAGGAGAAAAGCTATCATCTCGGTAGACCAATAAGAAAACTAGACTGCTTGTATAAGTCAGTGTCTTTAATTGGTGGTCATATCACGTTACATAATTAATCCGGCATAAGGATAAAACAAAAACTCTACGGTAATATCTAGCTATACATTATTATTTCATAGAAATATTATTTAGCAAATATCTAAAACAATTAAGAAAAAGATGTCAGCTAGATATTATTGTTGTTTGGAAAAAAAAAATTAAAAACTTTACATTAAAAAATCAATTTATACACATAACGATTTCGATAATTGTAAATTAAGAAAATCACAATTAACATCATTCAAATGATCATCAAAATCAACAATTTGACGGTGAACTTTTAAATGTAGAATTTCCTTTAACTTTTTATTAACATTTGGATTAAATGTGTACCTGAATCCATGAACAGAATATTTACTGAAGTAGAACTTACTTTGTATCATTCCACTTCCAATCTGATTTGCAAAATACTGTAAAGTAGTTTCCAGTTAACCGATGCAAAGCATCATTTTTAAACTATTAAATTATCAGGTTTTTTATACAGATCGTAACCGGATAATGTAACTTACAGTCAATAAACAAACGTTGCCACATTTTTCAGCTAACTTCTCACCAATTCTGCATGCAATACTTGTTGGGCTATATTTTTTACAGTGGAAAATGAAAAAATAACAAAATTACGTATTGCAATTAATGTATTCATTTGCTTGGAAATAACCACATATTTGAAGACCTTTAGCTGCACAATATGAGTCTACCTATCATTCAATTTTGATAAACATGAATTTTGACTAACATGATACAAAGCTGTTTCCAGCATTGGTGTCAAATTTATGACACTGTGAAATAGCGGAATATAGTCAGTAATGATTATTTGTGAATCACAGTTTTGATCACTTAAAAGAATACCATTGACGGAACTCTCTGGATGCTTGGCAGCATGTAAAACCATCTTTAAAAATGCAAGTTCACCAATATGTACTGCAGCTGACATTTCCAAACCAACCTAAAAATTAACAACTGAAACATTAAATTGTTTGTCTATCAAAAGATTTACACCAATAGAAGATTAGTATGTATAGAACTATAAAAAGTTAAACAGTACATTTCAGTCAGTCAGTAACAACGTAAAACTTTGTACGTACGTACATGAGTTTGAGTTGCCATACCACATTAGCACGGTACATTTAGCACTTTCAATTTTATTGCAATCCTCCTAGAAAGCAGGTGGATATCCCAGCAATCAAAAAAAACTATAATCATAAACTGTCTTCTGTATCTGAATTTAAATCACTTTGAGCAAATACAGAAACATACTTGGTGAAATTACGTTTGGTCACTGCTCAGAATGATGCTATTTCCCACTTTTTAAAACGATAGGTGTATAAATGTTTTTTTAGAAACTAATACCACACCTTGTCTATGGTAGTAAACTCTTTAAGGAAATGACAAAGCAATAACTACAAAGACAGTGTCCTTTGCACTTTTGCTGTAAAAATATCAAGTCGCATCAGCAAGCAGATGGCTATTGAAGGACCGATATCAAGTGGATATCCATTATTGTTTGCAATTCGATGTAAACATCACACATTTAAGCTCATGGCTATTCCGAATAAAAATGTTTACATCACCCTACTACACAAACCGGAGTTAAATTTCAAAATAAGGGCTCAGAACAGTTCTCAGTAGCATATATAAATATCATAATTAAACTTATCATTGTTGAAACGGAAATGTCCGCAAATAGCTGCTTTTTCCTCACTAAAAATTCGTTGTTTGATGTTGACTGATAATTTTTTACTCATGACAAGTAATCATTTATTTGAAACATGGAACGCTGATTGGTGGTGACTTTAAAACTCACCTGGTACATATCTATGTAAAAAATCCTCGTTTTATTTATGAACCAGATGTTTTAGGAAGTTTATGTGGTAAGACTACCGAGTGACGTTTTATTTAATGCTAATAACTTATATTACCATCATGCCCCAAAATACCCTGGTACGGCCGAGAGTGGGGAGTCCGCTCTCCCTCACGAAATACTCTCACACGGCCACGCGTACACAGCCTCTGCTAGGGAAGTCCCACTCATTGCCTACTCACGGCGGGGGTGTTGTTTACGAAAATGAGAGAACGAAAAGCGAATGTCCGGCGCTTCAACCGGATCCCAAACCAATGGTGCACATGGGCTCTTATTTATTTATTTGGACACATGAATATTGGTACAAGAGAGCGCCAATATATATGCGCCACACAAAACAATGAAAATTCGAGAGGAATACAAAGAAAAAAAAGGTAAGGAGCGCAACAAAAAAACAATAACGGAGAGATTGGTGTAAGGTAATGTGCTAGTAATCAGGGAACGCAAAGGTACAATCAGAAGAAATCTTTCAGTTAAGGAAGACACAAACACTTTTTATGAAGAAAGTAAAAGAAGGTTACAGCAGGATCGCCACTGGCTTCTATTCTGAGCCATATCTGATAACGTCTCTAGCCACTGTGTGGCACCATCTCTCAGACCCCAACCAGGGAGTCGTGAAGGACCAACACAAGCCAGTCCTTCGCAGCTTTCTTTCATGCCACGACACCATGTCATGCACTGACCACATCTCCGCTTCTTCCAACCAGTCCCAGAGTCGGCAAATAATGCACGACGTGGAATCCTCTGGGACGACATTCGGGGAACATGTCCAAGCCACCGAAGTCGGTGTTTCAAGATGGTGACACCAATTGAATTATCATCTCTGTGCCCGAACACACGATGCCGAACCTCTGCATTACTGACATGGTGTTGCCACTGAATGTCAGCAATCCTTCGGAGACAACGATGATGGAACACAGAGAGTCGTCTAACGTCCTCAACTCGGAGAGGCCAGGTTTCACAAGCATAGAGCAAAATGCTCTCACCGACGCGTTGTAGATCCGACCTTTTACAACCAGACTAACATCACGAAGGCGCCAAAGATGGCCCAGATTGGCATAAGCCGCTCTGGCTTTCACTATACGTGCATTGATCTCATCACTCACACCCCCACCAGCACTTATGCAGCTACCCAGATACACGAACTTCTCGACTACGTCTATCTGCTCACATGGGCTCTAGTATCCTGCGGGAACAAGTAGCGTATGAACCAATCGTTGGTCACCGGCTGCCATGGGAATGCATCTCCTCACGATGCTCCACTGCCTTGTGGACCAGACCTTTGGGCCGAAGGCTCGAGGTGCGGCCCCTTAAGAAAACCACCTGTTTCGGTTTGGGCACTCGGGCAGCATCACAGCCCACACACAAATAAAATGAAAGTGATGATATTTACTGAAAATTCTATTCTCACTTCGATTCACAGTCAAACAATTCACATTATTATTATTAATATTTGCTACGTCATTTACTCACTCTTTTATTCCCACCTTATGTATCCTTATTTTTCGACTTATACAGCAGCTCGCCTGTGGTGGAAACTCAGTTCTATCTAACCGTTCTCGAGTTACTGTCCGGTTGAAAATTGTATGCTACCACCAAATATGAGTACTCAAGCAGTTTTTCTGAAAATACGTGCATCATTCAAATTGGCTGCCTTCAACGTTCGCACACTTATGCAGGTCGGACAACAGATAGGGCTGGCTATGTCTTAATATCGACGTTTGTTGTCTATCCAAGATCCGTATTCAAGACTATGGTGAAGTACTAAAAATTCGCTCTTCATCTGTCGCTTCGAAAAGCTTGTTTTGCGTGTGTTTATCCGGAAACCCTGTGGCATCTTCGTCTAGTCTTCCTGGCGTTGGTGTCGCACTAAGCGCTAGAGCTGAGGCACCACTAACCGATTGGATCCCCATTAACAGTCGGTTATGTGCTGTTAGATTAGAAAGTTCCATCGAAGTGGGAAGAAATTGGTGTGAGAAACTATGTCTTTTCGTCATCTCCGCCTATGCCCCGACAGATTTCAGCTCAGATGCAATCAAGGATGAGTTTTACCACCAGTTAACTGTTCTTCTCCAGAAACCGTCTGTGAGAATGACGGGAAGCCAACCACTAACATCCATCGACGTCTTGGACGATGAGCAGAATTCTTCGAAGGGCAGTTCAACTGGCCTGCTGCTCCGGCAACATCGGTCAGACTGTCCTGCCCTCCATGGCTGGTGACGACTGATCCACCAAACGAGGCGGAATTCCGCAAGGAACTCCAACTCTTGAAGCGTTACAAATCACCTGGCCCAGATGACTTACCTCCAGCTCTTTCTAAAGAAGGTCGTGACTTTCTGACTAAGGAATTGACGACTTTGTTTACAAAGGTCTGGGAACTAGAGAGTGTACCAACGTCATGGAATGAGTCGATAGTCGTCCCTATCTTTAAAAAGGGTTCACATCGTTCCTGTAACAACTATCGGGGAATAAGTCTACTTCCCATTGCGTCCAAGCTATTGGTTTCTGTCATACTTCGTAGGTTGTTCAAAACCCGAGAAAGATTGACTCGCGAGGAGCAGGGTGGGTTTCGTTCTGGTCGAGGATGTATTGATCATATCTTCACCCTACGCCAAATGTTAGAACAGCGTCATACTTATCAAAGGCCAACAATCGTAGTGTTTCTTGACATCAGGGCTGCCTTCGATTCGTTGGATAGGACTGTTCTCTGGGATTGTCTATTGAAGAAGGGTGTGCCTGAGACGTTTATTAACATCCTAAAAGCCCTATATAAAAACACCTCAGGCAGAGTGAGGGCATCCAACTACCTTTCTCCATTGTTCCATTCGAGCAGTGGGGTTAGACAGGGTCGCCCAATCTCACCATTCCTCTTCAACTTTGCCATCGATGACATTCTGGAAACAGCTCTGATGGACGTAAGTAATGGCGGTGTGGATCTGTCGCCTGGGGAAAGACTTCTCGACCTTGAGTATGCGGATGATATTGTCTTACTGTGCGGTAATGTCCAAGCCATGCAATCCGCATTTAATCAGTTTGCAATCAATGTCCGTAGGTATGGTATGTGCTTTGCACCTTCGAAGTGCAAAGTACTTCTACAAGACTGGCAGGATTCCGATCCTGTACTCACCCTGCATGGTGAGCAGATAGACGTAGTCGAGAAGTTCGTGTATCTGGGTAGCTGCATAAGTGCTGGTGGGGGTGTGAGTGATGAGATCACTGCACGAATAGTGAAAGCCCGAGCTGCTCCTGCCAATCTGGGCCACCTTCGGCGCCTTCGTGATGTTAGTCTGGTTGTAAAAGGTCGCATCTACAACGCGTCGGTGAGAGCATTTTGCTCTATGCTTGTGAAACCTGGCCTCTCCGAGTTGAGGACGTTAGACGACTCTCTGTGTTCCATCATCGTTGTCTCCGAAGGATTGCTGACATTCAGTGGCAACACCATGTCAGTAATGCAGAGGTTCGGCATCGTGTGTTCGGGCACAGAGATGATAATTCAATTGGTGTCACCATCTTGAAACACCGACTTCGGTGGCTTGGACATGTTCCACAAATGTTGTCCCAGAGAATTCCACGTCGTGCATTATTTGCCGACTCTGGGACTGGTTGGAAGAAGCGGAGAGGTGGTCAGTGCATGACATGGTGTCGTGGCATGAAAGAAAGCTGCGAAGGACTGGCTTGTGTTGGTCCTTCACGACTCCCTGGTTGGGGTCCGAGAGATGGTGCTACACAGTGGCTGGAGAAGTTATCAGATATGGCTCAGAATAGAAGCCAGTGGCGATCCTGCTGTAACCTTCTTTTACTTTCTTCATAAAAAGTGTTTGTGTCTTCCTTAACTGAAAGATTTCTTCTGATTGTACCTTTCCGTTCCCTCATTATTACTATTATTATTACTACACTACCTTACACCAACCTCTTCGTTATTGTTCTCTTTTTGCGCTCCTTACCTTTTTTTTCTTCGAATTTTCATTGTTTTGTGTGGCGCATATACATTGGCGCTCTCTTGTACCAATATTCATGTGTTCAAATAAATAAATAAATAACTAAATATTACCATCATGATCCCTTTATGCTATCTTACTACAAACAAGAAACTCGTACTTTATATCTGGATCTATGAAAACTATTCTATTCGTTATTCTTGATATCAAAAACTGGTCAAATAAATCAACCTATTAAAAACATTGTCAGATTAGCTTTGGTCTAAGGTTTATTTTGGTATTAAGTAATGAAACTCTTGGTTGGGTCACGTGAAATTGGCACAGACAGATGTCTTTGAGTTACCTAGGGTATACAATACTTCGAATCATAAGGTCAGTCATAATAAAAAGTCCTGTTACAATTATGCATTTGCCCAAGTCGTCGAACCAAATTAGCATAATGGGATAAAATTTAAAAAGTGGGTAGTGAGTGAACAAGAATAATGCAGTAGTAATAATAATGAAGTATTGAAAATACGGTTCGAGATGATAGATGCCTTTCTCGATCAGAAATTCACATTTGTGATATTTCACATCAAATTTAGGATGAATTTATTTGGGTTCCTGATTTCGATATTTCTATCGATACGTTTACCAATATATACTTAAACGCAAGTTCCAAGTTGACTTATACATGTTCTGGACTGGCTTTACGTATTTTGATATTTGTTAACACATAATGTATCGACACAATTTGTGATTTTAGCTCGCGTAGTAGTGATTAGTCTTTTAAACGAAATTCTAACGAAGATAGGTGTGTGTCGGATGGCTAAAATAGTATTCCTTTACATACTAACCATTAATGGATAAGACTCTATTCATGTCCAAGATCTGATTGTATTCAGAAATGTCAGATGACTGTTGACAGACAGCATGAACTCGAGAAGGGATGAACCTTACTTCATTATTATGTTTGTAGGATGTCCAGGCTACCAGCTTTGGTGAAAAATTGACAAATTCAGTGTGAATTTTGCGCAAATCTTGGAAAAATCTGGCAAACACCTCAAAAGTTACACTGATGTCAAGTTTATACACAAAATCACCACCGGTTTGGGTTCCTTTTTAACTGAAAGTCCACGATTTTCACAAATGTCCCACAAGTGCGGTTCAAGAATTAAAACTTTGAATTTAAGCAAAGTATGCTAGCCCAAACTCCTAACTTTGGGAAAAAACAACAATTTCTAGTAAATTTAGTGAAAATTCCATTGAAAGTTTCGGTAAAAAATAACCAAAGGATCGTTAATGAATAAGGATAAGAATTTTTCCAGAAATCTACTCAAATGTTTCCCAGGTGTAGGATTCTTTCTCAGACTTAACAAGAAAATTCACAAAGCTCAGACGTTTTCCACTATAAACTAAATTTACCCAAGATTTTTATGCACATTGGGAAAATGGTATGAATCACCAATTGAAAATCCAGAAGATCTAACTGGTTGTTTTCTTCCAGAATTGACCCTACAGTTTTCCATGTCCAGGAATTTTGAGGGCAATTCACCGATTTCATAAACACTCTAGTTCATAGATCCTGTCCATTCAAGTAGTATAGACATATGCAAATGTTCTACATTCAATCCCGTGTACATAGATTTCTAGGACATATATACTTTGTAACGGGATGATCTAAGATCGGCCAAAGCTCCTGGTTAGTGAAGCATCTGTGATGGCGAAATAAGAAAAAGCAATTTCGAAGCAATATCTTCGGATGCAACAAAACATTTCAATGACTTTGTTCCTACTTCTCAGCTTGCCCCGAAAAAACGGTGGCATTACAGTAGGTTACTCACTTCCAAAGAGTATACAAATTTTACTATATTTCATTTTCAGTTAACTGCATACAATATTTGTGAGCGTTGTTATGTTCTAATCTTATCTAATGAATATATCTGTATGTATACATAGCGTTTGATAGAAATGATTAACGTTCTCACTTTGGATTTCTAATTTGCAATATAACTGACGCAACCGAACAGGATTAATGAAAGTTCAGCCTCCCGAATCACTCATTTATTTTAATAAACATCCTCATTGATGATATGGAAATCTCATTTAGACCAAAAATGACAATCATGGTGTAAAGTATGGGAAGTGTTTTTGAGAAAGACTACTTGTAGTACGTTTGATAACTTGGCGGTGTAAGATCGTGCGATAGACAGTTTTGGAAGTAGTATTAAACGATAAATACGTTGTACGCAAAAGCTTTCCGCTGCAGCAATCACAGTAAATAGTCAAGCTTCTACACAAACTGAAGTTAATAAGAAACGTGGTTTCTGTCCAGATTATCAGTGTCGATCATGACCTAGCCCCCAAGTGCCCTGGTACAGCTGAGAGTGGGGAGAGTCAGCTCATCCTCGAGAAATACCTTCACATGACCGCGTATATACAACCATTGTCACGGAAGTCCTACTCACTGCACTTTTGCAGCAGGAGTGTGGTTTACGGAATTTAGAGGATGAAAAGCGAATGTCCGGCGCTTTAAACGGGTTAGTGGACACGGAGGATCGACCTAGGGGAGTTGGAAAATCCTCATTTCAAACCAGTCGTGCACATGGGCTCCAGGATCCTGAGGGAACAAATGGCGTATGAACCTATTGTTGGTCACCGGCTACCATGGGACTGCATCTTATGTTGCTTCACTGTCTTGTGGATTAGAATATTAGGTCGAAGGCTCAGGGTGTAGCTTTGTAAGGAAAACGCCTGCTTCAGTCTAGGAGACCAGGTAGCATTCCAGACTCACACGAAACAAGTGATTTGTGTGGCCCATATGTATACGGTATCAAATAAATAAATAAACTAAAAGCACAGATCCTTGAATTCGTGTACATATTTCGATCTCATACAGGAAAATTGTATCGTTTGTGAAGTCAGAGAGTGGTCCTCGAAAATTGGACCTGAGAAAATGTGGGGTACATTATGGGGACAAAACCAGTAAAATCTTTTGGATTTTCAATTAGCGAATCTGCATGAAAATGTTAGATGAGTTTAAGGAATATTTTGTCAACAATCCCCACTATGAGAAACTTTGAATTTTCTTGTTTTTCCTCAAAATTTTCAATGGAACTGTCCCATGACTCATGTATAATCAAATAACTGTGCTCAATTTGGGAGCTTGAGGATGTTCTAAGCACCTCCAGTTTATGCTTTTTCAACTCGGATTTCCAAGTAAAACATTACGAATTTTGTGTCAATATACCGTACATATGTTTCTAACCTAGGACTAATTATAGGAAAAGAAACTTCAAAAGTCAGTAACAAAACATTTGTTTAGAGGGCTAGTTTTGCATATTTTAGACTGACGCCACTTGTGAACATTCACAAGCAAAGATCATTGAAACATTTTCACCGTGAAATCTTAGCTCACGTTTATGATATAAATACTTAGTATCCACAAAAATCTACATGGTAAGACAAAAACACTAACTGCAGCGCCACAATTCAATCAATTGGTAACGTAATGTACGACGCTCAATGCCACTATGAAATGAACCGTTTCACAGTAAATCTTGTATCATTGCTACAGAAATAAACAGGTATTCTTAGAGGAAAAAACAAATTTTAAGAGGGAAAACCATTTTTACAACAATTCAGCTCGAATGCTATTGTATTTATCTAACTACTCTACAAATGCGCTGTCAGTGTTTGTTGCTAAACTGCAGCAATGGTCATTTTTGATGTGATTTTGGACGACTTTGACAGCTTTATGGGTTATTTATGCGTTCGGAAACACATCTGTGCCTTTAAATCTGAGCTAAAAACTGAACTCTACCGGTTATGGAGGCAAGGTGACTCATCACTTTTTACGAATGGAACGAATCCAAACAAGTGCCGTGATAGAGAATAAAGGTATCAAGTAATAGATCTACAACATTTTGAAGAGTGTCAAACAGAATATGAGTAGATTTTCGGGAATAGTTCAACTCATATCTGACAAAGTTTGAAGTCAGAGACAAGAGGAAATAAATGTACTTTATTTATGAGCAACAACACTCTAAGCATCGTGGGAAATTTCAGACTCAACGCAGTAGTGCTGGTCAAAATTGCTGAGAAAGGCGTGCTTCATAAGACATGCAGGCATAAGTATAATTAGTTCAGCGTGACTTTAGTTATTCAGTATTAACTAGAGCAGATTTAATACCGTAAACAAAGAATTAGGTCCACATAGATTTTACTTGTACATGGCTCTGGTTAGCATTCGTAGCCGTTTACAAACTAAGGATATATATATATCGCTGGCTAATAGGTTAAACGTGATATTAACTCCTATTAAGTCGGCTGACTGAAAATCAAACGTTGAAAAAACTATCTCTGATTAAATGCAGTGAATTTGGGGGCGGTTTTCAAAGTCCATCGTGCCATTGTGCAATGAGAAGTATATAACATTCATTAAACAAAATTTTCTGACGTTGCATTTGCAAGCATTCTCCAGCTATACACCAAAATAATGATCCCAAATGTAGTGATAACAATACCCCGTTATACTTCCTACCGAATTACTGCTAATGGCCGGTCTATACAATCGCTGAAGATTTTTCCAATTGATAAATTTCATGACGTGATGACGAAACTTAAATATTTGAAACATTTTAGACGTGTTAAATGAATATTTTGTTCGTTTGTTTGTCAACTCTCCTCATTACTTAAAACAGACAATTGGTGACAACTATTTGACTACGTGGAATTAACGGCTGCAATTAAACGCAACTCAATTTCGTAAATGTGCCCTTCAGCTTAGCAACCAATCAGGATGAGGCGGGAATTATTACATCCGCCATCTTTGTAAGCAACGGCGGTCGGCTTTCTTCGTTCTGTGCTTCTTTCAGCTATTTTTTTTTGTGTAGCTATGTAATTTAATGTTTCAGTGTGCTTCATTAGCTTCCACTTGTTACACGTGTCCGCTATCAACTGAATGATCAGTTCAATCAACAACCACTATCATCCGATTACTCATACTCTGAATTATAATTCCCGTAGATGGTCGATAGCCTCACTCGTTCAAAATCGCGCGGATAACTGTACTGATAGATGAACTTTCTCACCTCGACAGAAACTGCCAAAACAGTGTGGCCGATGCCAATGAGTTGAGAAACACCCAACGAAAATACTCTCACAGCATCGGACACATCCAGAGGTGCCTTGGTCAAAGTGACAACAACAGCAACAATAATAACAATCTACACTCGGACCAAAATTAGAAAACATACACGGATATGAAGGAGTCTACCAGGAAAACTGAATCTTCACTTATAGGCATACACCCAGGATTAACACAGGTCATCTGACCTACCAATGCAGCCACCAGAGGGAACGGAACTCCTAGTATTTTTATGAACTATGGTGGGCACTCATGAACTTAAAATTGAACGTTTTTATGCGAATTCTTGTTAATCCAAATCCGAAAACACGTGCCACTCAAGTAGTGATCTGATAAGACTACCATTCTAATACTACTCCTTTGGCACGCCCATATTTCTTAAGAATGCACGTACATAATCATCCTTCCTAATAGGTCTTTACAATATTATTAGAACGGCGTGTTTGGGGTTTCATGTAAACTTCAGAAGACACAGGAATTAGACAGGGAACTATAAAAATCACTCGCGATTCTTCAAGCACATGCACTCTAGCTTCTGAATGATTTTATCTCAGCTCGGAACTGTTTGTACTACGTATATGCTTTGAACTCGCCAAGTGGTTGATAAATAGGTAGTTATACTTGGTTCCATCTGACTGGAAGTCTATTACTTCTCATACTTTTCAGTGGAAAGTATTAAGCACTTCAGCATAAACCCAGTTGGTTCATTCAACGAAATAAATGGGCTGTATATAAAATAATGTAAATGAAGTCCAAAGCATGGATACAGCAGGAAATCCTGAGGCCCTTTCGAACATGTTTCTTGCTTATAAACGAGCAAATTTAGGTTGAACGATGGCGTTGTCAGCTGACATTTTTCCAGTATAACGTAGAATATACCACTTGCTACTTGCTTGTCTATGTAGAACTGTTTAAAGTTCTAGTAAACCTTCCATTACTATAAGATAACTAGATAAGGTTGCTAAAGAAGTGTTGAGTGTTGACGCACGGCTTAACAGTCGCTCATTTATTAAATCAGTATTTCCAAACTGTTTTATGGCATGCTTAGATGTCAAGTTTATAATCAGGCGAGGGTTATCTTCGCCATGACCTTATGGATCAAAATTACTTTGTGCCAAAAATACTTTTTAATAGTAGGTCTAATAGGAATTCCAAATGATGAATACAACAACTTGGTTCTGAAGTTGTCGTAAATCATCCCTTAAATAATTGCAGTCGGGGCGGAGGTATTCATATAATGAGCTTCCTTGAGCTGTATCAATAGACAGTCGACGCACTATGGAAGGAAAACAAAAATCATCAAGTGAACTGTTTTGAGAGTCTATGGTGTGTCTAGTCATTGATTTCAGACTTTAAATGAAGCTGAACAAAACCACATTTGTGGAAACCTTTATTGTCGAACTGACTGAGTACTAATTGACCCGGAGTGCATTCTCGTTATATTAAAAGATTTTAGTTCGTAGTAAAATTGCATACTTCCGAGATCACAACCTATATTATAGTGGATTTCTATCCAGAGATTTGGATTATTAGTGAAAGTATGAATTTCGAATAACACCTAATGAAGCAAGTCTTTTCCGCCGTGACGTCAATAAATGCGGAAAATTTTGAAGTACATTCGGCATATAGGCACTTCAGCAGGATTTGGTCTGAATTTAAAATGTTTATCTAGGTTTGATTTTACAGTGAGTATTTTAGGTACATCGATAATAAGGGAGTCTACTCTGTAACTTCGCAGTTACCCGTAATAGTGTCAAGTAATATTGTACTCTTTCGAAATTAGGAGGAATGAGAGCATTCAATTATATTTTCATTTCGGAAAGGACGGGGAACAAAAATTAATAAACGCTACTTAAATGTTGAGATATGATAGTGGTGGGAGTTAGTTTGCAGGAGACCCTGTTCCCCCAAGATTACAAGTACACCTTGCTGAAGAGTGCCAAATCGCACGAACCCTAGATCTATACGGGGTCTCCTGTCGACTACCTTCAATCATCATTTCATCTCAACGTAATGCACGCAATATCGAGTCATCTGGACCAGTGACCATACTGTAACTTGGTCGAAAGAATTATGTCTGCACTAAGACGGACCTGACACACATGGGACTGATCACTACCCAGTTATAAAACAACTGTAAAGGCTACATCCGTGAGCGGATTTCGACATTTAAGAGTGGATCAACTTTCACGGGCTACTAATTATTTTATGAGAAATGAATAACTTATTCTAATTCCATGCTTATCTTTAAAAAAATAACCCAGTCTCGGCTTTATACTTCCCAACAATTTTTCCTAAAACTTTGACAGCCGTGCTTGTTAGGCTTTTAGTGGTATTGGTTTCCAACTACACAATTCCTGAAGCCGAACATATAATTGCCAATAAGATTGATAGTCAGCATGTGACACTTGGAGGAGGCCAAGTATGGTGAACGCGGTGATGATTGTTCGGTGTGGCATGGCTCAGCCTTGCGGGCGTTCTCGCTCTACACAACTTATTGTATTTTGGTATTAAATAAATCACTCTCTATCCAGTCTAGATGTGTGCTTAAGGAGTGTTAGACATCATGTTGCTTACTGTCACGATATGACTAATTCGTGTAGAGAAGGACGTGACTTCCATGTAAGATCTTCTAGGTTAGGTGGTCACTTCATCCGAAATCTTCAATTTTTGAATTAAGTCTATTATTATAGTAGTGGAGATAATTGTACTGATAATGAAATAGTTTGTAATTGTAGAGGCTTATGGATCGATAATTCTTAGGTTTGTGTCTCGTACCTCATTTGAAGACGGGACATAATACGGAGTTCTAGTATTTCGGTGATCCACATTGAGTCATAGACAGATTTAAACAGATGCTCAAAAGATTTGTGACAAAATTCTGTAATCTAGCATGAATTTAATCCGGTCACATAGATTTACTTATATCAAGCTTAATTAGAAATCAATAGCCATCAGTACATAGTATGCACGGGGAGAGTTTGTTTTAACTGAAAAGTAAGGCATCTTTGTGGTTTATGCATCACCAAAGTAATTAAAAATTACCTGGACGTTTCAACGATGGTCTTCTAATAATGATGTAATATACCTAACTCGCCATAACACTAGGAGGGTGTTTTTAAACGCAACTCAAGTTCGTAAATGTGGCATTCAGCTTAGCAACCAATCAGAATGAGACGGGAATTATTATATCCGCCATCTTTGTAAACACTGGCGGTCGGCTTTCTTCGTTCTGTGCTTTTTTTTCAGCTATTTATTTTGTGTAGCTATGTAATTTAATGTTTCAGTATGCTAAAATGCCGCAGTTAGTGTAATGTTCTATATGTTGGTGTGAAATTTATTGCGAAACAGCATTGCTTTTTGCTGCTTCTAC